TCATTCCTGCAAAAGTTCACGATGTCCAGTGGTTATAACTGTTGATAAAATAAAACTTTAAAATTTAAACGTTAAATTGTTGTAAAAGCTGTGTTTTAACCATCAATAAAATCAGAAGAAAGTCTTTGGAGACACTGTTAAACTTTATGGCCTTTATCTTTTCATCTTTACTTATTAATTTTTCTCTTGTTAGGAGGCAAATAAATTGAAAAAGAGTAGTTTGTGGGACAAAACGGAGTGGAAAATTTTATGTCCTTTTTTTATTTTTATTTTGATGAAAACATTCTTAAAGGCATCACCTGGCTGACAGGTAAATGATAACAAACCGATAATTCCAGCACAAGTACATTAACCAAATTATTAATCACTTTCTGTGCAATGATATGACAATATTTTAATCGACTGCAAAGGGGGAAAAACATTTTTATGAGAAGCCATAAAAAGAGCCACTGCAACGTCTCTCTTCTCCTTCCTGCTGCTGCTGCTGTTACTACACCAGCCCATAAACACAGAGCAAATCCAGAACCTAAGCTGCACACACACACTTTCTCCTGTGCAGGTACAATGCAGCAAAGCTGAGAAATTCTTTTCACACCTCTAATTACACACAGACACCTACAGTCCAGCCAAGTATTCTCAGCACCTGGTGGAAGTCCTTCCCTCCCTTAAATTCATCACCTCACCATGTGCTGCACCTTCGTAGCACACACACACACACACACACACACACACACACACGTCAGGGTCCAGTGCAGCGGACCATTCAACTGGGCTTTGCTCAGTGTTTTACTGTGGCTGGCTCTGAGAGCGGTTTTTGTTTTAGCTGACTGCTGCAACTGGATTATGCAGAAACCTCACAAATTGCCCACCGGAACTCAGCAGATCAGCCCAATTTCTCGGAGCCACATGCGACAGCCAACAGATTATTTCATTCCGCATCACTTCTTTAGCTGAAAGCAAGTGTTTGTGGGAGATATGCTTCACACGCTTTATTGTTCTTTGACAATAATAAGGCGGCAGCTTTGTGTTCAACGTGTCTTTGTCTCACGGGCTACAGTACGTCCAAGGGAAACACTTATGCTCTTACGGATCTTCCTGTTAGTTAGCTGATCCTTGTTGACATCACAAGAGTGGACAATGTAACACACTGTACCAGCGTATACAATCGTCAACAGCCACACACACACACACAATGGTCGTTTTCCAAAAATGGCCTTGAAAATAAATCAACTCTTAAACAGTTTTAGCACCGACTGAACTGATGACCACAGAGAAAATGGACTTTATCACAGAACAGAATCATAATGTGTTTTAAATGTGTGTTTTCTAACCTCCAGTGCAAGTCCAATGGTCTATATCGTAAAAAAAAGAAAATCATGCATTTTCAGGCATTTATCCAAAGCTTTTTTTCCAACTTCAAAAACACTTCGAGGTTTCCACCCCCTTTGGGATTTACCTTATCAAATCAGAATCTAAAACAGCACTACTGAAGATAATAGAATGAAGTAAAGAAGATAAAGAGTGTGTGGCATGAACTGTAATAACAGTCAGTGTTACAGACACTGTGGCTAACAGTGGAACATTCAGCCTTGTTGGAGAGCTCAGTGTGTGTGTGCGTGTGTGTGTGTGTGTTACAGGAAAGTGCCCTGTTTGGTACCTGATTACATTCACACCGGAGGCTTATTGAAAACACTACTTTGCACAAATACATATCCCTGCCATAAATGCATTAATCATAAATAACCCAATAATGAGTGTAAAAAGTGACATTCATACAATACATTCAGGACAAAAACAAACTCAAATGATTTAAAACTAGTTTGTTCTTTTGGATCCTTTAAAGAAAAATGCAAATGCAAGTCACAGATTCTTAAGCATGTTCATAGTTTAACAACTCAAAAAACTGCTATTAGATCATGAAGAAAAGTGTGTCCAGAACTCTCTGAAAGGCCTCTGTTAGTGCTGTCAAACATTTAAGTTAAGTGAATATAAATCGGTTGATTTAGTATGTCGTTAAATGTCACTGGTTTAATTAGATTTTAAGGCAACTGGAACAATGAAAAAGCAGTGGCCTTTGGTATTTTTTCAGCAGGTTACGTTGTCTCACATAGGCTTCCCCTTCCAGTGCACTAAACTGTAACAAAGTGACATTCCAGTCAGGTGATTTCTAATCTTTTAATAACTTATATTCACACGGCCTTTGTTAACATTTGTCCTTGATAAAATATTTAAAATTTCTCATTTGGACTTATAGTAGTTAAATGCTATCTGACTGTTTAAAACTCAACAAAACAAATAACAGGTTGGACACTGAGTCTTAGCTTAATGATTGAAGTAGAATCATCAGTGGTTAAAACAATCTATACGTTAAAAGTAAAAATTCTAATGAAGAATTTCAGTCAATGACATTGCACTGAAGAATGCACTGATATTTCATGAAATTTAAACCAAAAATTTTAAAATTTTACTGATATTTCATGAAATTTAAACCAAATTTAAACAAATTTAAAGTCTTTAATTTTTAATGCATTGTTATTTAATTTTAAATCCCTGTCCTTGTTTACCAGCCGGGATGTTCAGACACACCAACAGATCAGACTTCAGTGACAGGACACTGCAGCAGCAACTGTTAGCATAGCGCTGATATGACTGTGTTGTACAGGATGCGCTCTCACTGCTGGACCTCCACAAGGTTGGTCTGACAAATCTGAGGCACGGTGATGCCACTCAAACCCCACATCCACGCCGTGTGTGTGCCCCCACCGCCCCATTAAAGCAGTAACAGCACAATACACCTGGTAAAGCAGCGGTGTCACATTTGACCAGCAGATCTCAGCGTCTACCCCCGGGGGCTGTTCCGGAGGATTACCACACTAATATTACATAAACACAGCCGGAACCTAGAGCTCAAAGGCAGCAGCCTGTTTTATTCCATCCTCCTCCTCCTCCACCACCTCCGCAGCCCCCGATATAACCCACAGGAGAGGCCATTTACTCACCGTCGCTGCGCTACTGCCGCTGACAGACCTTCCGGATACGTCGAGGTCGTCTCCGCCGCTGCTGAGTTGTGAAGAGGAGACGTGTGTTTTGCTCCGTAATGCTGCTGCCGTGGGAGGAAAACAACGAGCCCGGACTCGGAGTGGTGGCTGTGCGGTCCCACGTACTGCAGTGTTCAGTGATACTGCTGCTGCTGCTGCTCCTCCTGCTGCTGTTGCTGCTGCCTGTGCTCGGCCCACCTCTTCTTCTACCTACATGTCCAAGATGACGCTGCGTTACCGCCGCCGAGTGGCAGGAAGATGGAACTCCTCGGTCAGATGAGGACTCGCTGCTCTAACCGCTGCTGTCAAATCACCGTAACCGCCAATACCCATGGCTTATTAAGACTTTCAAGATAAAAACCAGGAGAATAGATCGAAAACGTTAGAAAAAAGGGACGACGGGAGATTGAAAAGATATATATATATGACTACAAATCCCATCTGCACCAAGAACTACAAAAGATACCAAAGATGATAGTATGGCTCAATTACTACTGATGATATTAATTTGTTTGGACGTTAAGGTGAAAAAATGGGAAAAGATTAATCGTGATAGTTACAGAAAATTATGGAACTAGATTATTATAGACATTTCACGTTCCCGCGAAAGTTATTTGCACCCAGAGTCAATGAAAAAAAAAAAAAGAATATCGCCATACTAATATAAACAGTAATGGGTTCCGATTAAAGTTTTAAAAAAACACACGATATAATTAATCAAGTTACGTAAACAAATATTGGATGAAAACAGATTATAAAGCGTTAATTCATGATGAACTACAACAAAATATTATAGCGGTGCCTGTTAGTGTACTGTAAACAAAATGGCGTAATGTTAAATTAGCTTAACATGTAAGAATATACCAGAATATTTCCGTCGAAACAAATTAATAATTGATACGTATTAGGCCTATAAGGGTTAAAAAAAGTATCTTTAATCCTCGTTTGACATAATGACAGAACATAAGCGTGCTCTTAGATAGTAATAAAATAATAGTAATAGAAAAACGCGTATCAACCGAGGAGCTAGCTGCATTAGCAGCAGCTAGGTTTGAGATTCTCGTATTAACCCCTCGTGGATTTTAATATATGTATAATTAACTTATGAGTAAATGTTAAGGAATACTTTTGTACGTAATAAGTTTACTATAAGTGGGCCTTCGACTTTGTTGTGAACAGTAATATCAGGAGAAAAATGACTTACCAGTCCCCGCGGTGCATCGGTAGCTGCTACATGAGCAAGATTGAAAATGACTAATTGATTAGACAGTGATTAATCGGTAGACCAAATACTCAAGATTGAAAATGACTAATTGATTAGAGAGTGATTAATCGGTAGACCAAATACTTTTTTTAGTACTTTACATGATTTAGAACGGTTCCTGGAGACAGCATTTTTTAAAAATTAAAGTACATAAATATGTAAAATGTAACAGTGACATATGAACTACACTAACAATAGCTACACATAAATGTATCGAGTACAAGTATCGAGAATCGTAAAGTTTGATCACAGGACAAACATTTATTTCAGATTATTTTTCTCTACTTTTAGTGAAACGACTTGAAACTTACCATCCAAAACGCATTTTTAACTGAAAATCGTTTTCACCTGTCTCTTTATCAGCGATCCCCACATCTTATTCTCATACAGTATGTCTTTTCTGACGCAACCCATCCTGGGTGTGGGAAGTGGAATCAAATCCAGAACTTTCTACATTGCAGGTGGTAAGGTAACCCCCCAATATTTCAAATTGATTTTATTATTTTAATATAATACAAATTATTAAATTAACACAATTATCAAAATAAGAGATCCGTCTATCTTGATGAATCAATGGTGTTCGATCACAAAGAGTTGTTGGATTGCATTAAGATCTTCTAAACTGTAAATGTTAATTTTAAAAATGGCCACATGATGGTGCTGCTGCAACATTTTTGATATAAACCATTTCACCGATGTTAAGTCACTTGTCAATGTCATACAAATAAATATTTGTCATATATATACTGTATATGTATATATGTTTATCCATGAACAGACAATATAATTGATTGATATATATAAAAACTACATTGCTTGTCCCAAAATAATTGGGTGTTTATTTTTAATAAAACGTTTAATCTATAACATTTCTCATTACATTGTACAAAGTTTAAAATAACCCAAAAATCGCTTTCGAATTTTGGTCAACTTGAAGCCGTAAATAAGGGGATTCATCAAAGGGGGTATGACAAGAAACTCTATTGCCACAAAATTTTTGAACATCTGAGGAAAGTTCTTTGAACCAAATCGTATGGTCATTATATCAAAGAGTATAGTAAAGAGAAAGGTAAATAAGGAGAGGACATGAGGCACACATGTCTGCATGAACTTTGCTCTGTTGTCCATAGAATGTACACATTTCAAAATGACGTACATGTAAGACCATACTATCAAGACACCGTGAAACACGTAGATGAGGATCGTTGTGTACGCCACTACGTTGTTAACAATCGTGTCAGTCATAAAACAAGCCAGTGTCACAATAATCCAGTTCACACAATACAGTCTGGGAATGAATGGGCTGCACAGCTTCAGTCTGGATGTCAGAGAAATGTTTGTACCGATCACGACGACTGGTGTGACCCAAGAATAAACAACTAATTTAATAACCTTTGGCTTGGACATGACAGCGTGGTACTGCAGCGGTCGACATATGGCCACATATCTGTCATACGCCATCACTGCGAGAACGGAGAGGTCACTGCAGACGTAGGAGTACATGACCAGAGCCTGGACCAGGCAGCCGGAGTAAGAGATGACATGAAGAGGAGAGAGCAGATCCCACAGGAACTTAGGAAAAAACCCAGTGGTTCCAAAAAGGCCATTGATGCAAAGGACACACAGGAAAATGTACATTGGTTCGTGGAAGTTTTTGTCCAAGATGACAGTAACCACAAGTGCAATGTTCACCAACAAAATTGCACAATAATACAATAAACTGAGAGCAAATAAAACATATCTCTGGTTCCTGGTTTCATTTAAACCTGAGAGGAAGAACATTGTTATTACAGTACCATTATCCATGTTGAAAGGCTGACAGGACAACCTGACGTGAACCTGTGAGTTCCTGCTATCTCGTCCTACTTTTCCTAATATCTCTATAATGTCAGCAACACGGGAGGGGGGGAATCGAACCAGCCAATCAGGGTTCAGACAGAGGTAACCTCCCTTGTCTTTAACACTTGGGAACTTCTTACTTAGAAACGTCACAGGGCCCCAGCTGTTTGTCAGGATTTTGAAAAAGACGCAGAAGATCGGCCTGAATAAAAAAGTACAAATTAAATATACTGTACATGTTTGAAATATTGTCATTGTTATTTATTTTAAATTTGGTAATTAATATATATTTGGAAAACCATAGTTAATAGTTAATAATAATATATAATGATGATTGATATGAATGTCAACATAGTATAATGAAGTACGTCTGTTAAATAGGCCGTGAATTATTTCACTCCTGTTGTTGTTTAGACTCAAATAATAATTCATTCACCAACAGACCCTTTAATGGAGCACAGATCATTTAATCAGAATCTTCAGTCATGTAACTCATAAACATACATCCATTTAATGAATCAGCAACGTTTTTATTGATGAATGAGCAAACCAAGCCACTCTGTGGTTCTTTCTGTTGTGTCTGAGCAGAACAACAACCACAACATGAACTGGTTTTTCACAGTTATTTAACCCAGGACGAAACCATAGATGAGTGGGTTCATGAGAGGAGGAAAAACCTCCACAGCCATGAAGTTCTGCACAGCCTGGGGGTAAATTTAGGCCAAACTGCACGTTCATCAGGCCGAACAGGATGGTAAAAAGGAATTCCTGTTCTCTGTGGAATTAACGAGACACATGTAGGTCCAGACTATAGAAACGTACGCCACTGAACTGTTAACAAGAGTATCGGCTCTGAAACAAACCAACGTCACCATGATCCAGATTGTACAGTAGCTCACAAAGCATTTGATAAAGTCCGTGCCGCAGAATTTTTTATTTTATTTTGTTACAGCAATGAACAGCATTTGTAACTTAAATAAATAACAACACATTATCCATACATACAGTATTACTAGATATAGTATTACTAGATTGAAAAATATACAGATACAGATATATAAATACATGTCCAAAGACCCAGCATTAAGAAACGAGGGCGGTTATGTTGAGAACCTCTGCATTAAGAACCCACCAGTTCACCAGTGTTTCAGTAACAGGTACTAATGGAAGAAAAAAACTACAGATCAGGATCAGAGTCATAACCTAAGTGTTTTTAATCGACAATAGAGCTACAAACTTTTTTCTAATCTTGGTCAACTTGAAGCCGTATATCAGAGGATTCATCAGAGGAGGGATGACGAGGAACTCCACGGACAGGAGGTTTTTGAGGTGCGGAGGTAATTCAACCGAAGAGAAACGCATGTTCATGACGTCAAAAAGGATGGTGAGGAGAAAAGTGGTCAAGGACAGCAGGTGTGGCACGCACGTCTGCATGAACTTGGCCCTGTTTTCTACGGAGTTCACACACATGCGGACCAGACACATGTACGTCCACACGATGAAGACGCCGTGGAAAAAGTAGAAGACGATGGTAATGCACGCGACTATGTTGTTGATCAGGGTCACAGCAGGACACCCCGCCCGTGTCCCGATACACTA